GTCAGGGAAGAGTCCGCTGCCAGCATCCCTGGCCACGGCTTCCCTGCCCAGCACCCGGCTTCTGCAATCTGCGATCCATGACTGCAGAAGCTGGGTGGCCAGCTCCCCAGCCGTGGCTTCCCTGCCCCGCACCGGCTTCTGGGATGGGTAACCGCAGAAGCCCAGTGCAGGGGTGATCACAGAAGCCAGTTGTGTGGGAAGGGAAGCAGCCTCAGCCAGCTTCCCTGGCTGGGGCTTCCCTGCCCCACACCCGGCTTCTGCAATTGGTGATGCCTATTTCTGCATGACACTTAACTGACCACCCTCCCTTGAAGCACAAAAGAAGAAGCCCCCAGAAGAAGAAGCCGCCCACCTTTGGTCCTGGCCCCAGCGCCTGGGGCTGGCTGCAGCCCAGGAGATGGACAAGCTACTGGCCAGAGGTCCCAGGCTGCAGCCACCCGGAGAAGCTACCAGCCCTGTGGTCCAGGGCGCCAACGCCTGTGGCCAGGGAAACAGGTTCCCTCTTCTCCTACTGTAGTCATTACTTCAATATTCCCCTTCAGAATTTCTCTCCTGTGCTGCAACCCAACTCCACTTTTTATCGGAAGGATACGGAACAGAGAGAGCAGTGTTAAAAGCTTACATTTTTAAGCCGGTAAGGTTGGTACTGAAACATATAAATAGAAAACTAGAGTCCTTAAGGTAACAAAGGCTACAAAGGACAAGGACAGCGCATGACCTATTATATCCAGCAATCCATATGGGGACTGAAAACTTTGCAATGATGGCAATTACTGAAGATATGAATCAACTAAAATAGTTGACAGGGACAATTCTTCCATCTTTGAAAATATCTACATCAAATCTGTTTAAATAGATTTTCATCTGCATAATAGAACACATTCTGACAAGACCACCACCTCCACCAATGTGGTCAGTGTTGTGCTGTAAAATGTTTAATAACCGAGGGACCTCCCCCCCTCGAGTGCACAAATTTTGTGCACCGGGCTACTAGTATATATATATATTATGCATCCATAAAAAAGAATGAAATCTTACCATTTGTGACAGTATGGAATGACCTCCTAGAGCAGTGGTTCTCAACCTTCTGGCCCTTTAAATACAGTTCCTCACGTTGTGACCCAACCATAAAATTATTTTCGTTGCTACTTCATAACTGTAATGTTGCTACTGTTATGAATCGTAATGTAAATATCTGATATGCAGGATGGTCTTAGGCGACCCCTGTGAAAGGGTCGTTTGACCGCCAAAGGGGTCGCAACTCACAGGTTGAGAACCGCTGTCCTAGAGGGTATTATGCTAAGTGAAAAAAGTCAGTGAGAGAAAGACAAATACCATATGATTGCACTTACATGTAGAATCTAAAGAAGAATGTACTAGTAAATGAACAAAACAGAAACAGACTCATAGAGTACAGACTAATGATTTCCAAAGGGGTGGGGGTTCCAGAGGGGGACTGGATAAAAAAGGTGAAGGGATTGAGAAATATAGATTGTTATTTACAAAATATTCATGGGAGTGTAAAGTACAGCATAGGAAATAAAGTCAATAATATTGTAATAACTATATATGGTGCTGGTTGGGTATCAGAAATATTAGGGGAACCACTTTGTAAAGTATATGATTGTCTAACCACTATGCTATACATCTAATCCAAAATAATATTGAATGTAAACTGTAATTGAAAAAAATTTAAAAATAAAGGTATGTTAAGAAGGTTGACATTTATGTATAAAAAAAGAAATGGGACTAGTAGGCATAATAAAAGAATGGAATCTTACCATTTGCAACAGCATGGATGAACCTAGAGGGTATTTATGCTAAGTGAAATAAGCCAGTCAGAGAAAGACAAATATGATGTGATTTCTCTTATATATAGAATCTAATAAACAAACAAATGAAATACAAACAGACTTATAGATAGAGAACAAACTGACAGCTGTCAGAGGGAGTTTAGGGGCTGGGTGAAATAGATGAAGGGATTAAGCAAGCAAGCAAACAAACAAAAAACCTCATAGACACAGGCATTAGTTTGGTGATTATCAGAGGGAAAGGGGGTGGGGAGGTAAAAGAGGGTAAAGCGGGGATAGGTGGTGATGGAAGGAGACTAGACTTGGGGGGGTGAACGTACACTACAATATACAGATGCTGTATTATAGAATTTTATACTCGAAACCTATATTATTTTATTAACCAACTAGAGGCCTGGTACACAAAATTCATGCACTGGGGGTGGGGGTGTCTCTCAGCCCAGCCTTACCCTCTCCAATCTGGGACCCCTTGGGCGATGTCTGGATGCCGGTAGTCAGACATCCCTCTCACAATCCGGGACTGCTGGTTCCCAACTGCTTGCCTACCTGCCTGCCTGATTGCCCCTAACTGCTCCTCTGCTGGCCCAGTCGCTCCCAATTGCCCTCTTTGCAGGCCTGGTAGCCCTGCAAGCCTGAAACGCCCCCTAACCACTTTTCCTGCCAGCCTGATCACGCACTGCCCTCCCCTGCAGGCCCAGTGCTCCAACTGCCCTCCCCTGCAGGCCTGGTCCCCCCGAACTGCCCTCCCCTGCAGGCCTGGTTGCTCCCAACTGCCCTCCACTACCGGCCATCTTTTGACCACATGAGAGCAGCCATCTTGTGTGAGGGTGTGACAGTCAATTTGCATATTACCTCTTTATTATATAGGATGTAACCCAAATAATTTCAATAAAACATTTAAAAAATGAAATGGGACTAGTAATAATTACTGCAAGTATAAAATACACACTGGGTTTCAAGGGCTTAGTATAAAAAATGTAAAATATCTCATTAATATTTTAGATATTAATTACATTGAATTATATTTTTGATAGGTTAAAGTATATTATTAAAATTAATTTTACTTGTGCTTTTACTTAAAAAAATTAAAATTATATATGTGGCTTGCATTCTATTTCTATTGGACAGATCTGGACTGGAAGTAAGCAGGAGGCTGGTGTGTGCTCAGCTTAGGAGTCTGTGCTCCCTTTTAAGGACAGTGGCCCCAGGATGCAGTGGAGGGACATGATGTGCTTTGCTCTGAAAATCACTGGCTAAGGGGTGGAGAATGAACCAGAAGGAGAACAGATCAGAAGTCAGGAGCTGTTGCAGAACTGTAGGCAGGAGAGTGGAAAGATGAGGCCAAATTTGAGGTCTTGCATGAACTAGGTCTGACAACTAGTTGGATGTGGTCTGTGAGGGAGAGGGAGGAATTTGGGTAGACTTGTGGGTGTCCAGCCTAGACAAATGAGTGGATCAGGGTGCAAGCCTATACTCAATGAAGGGATAAAGTGAAGTGTCCCCAACTAGAGTGTAACCTGGGTGAAGGACTCAGACCAGGGGTTCAGTAAATATTTGTTGAAGAATGTTTTTAAAAAATCAGACTAAAATGTGTGGTTCAGGAAATGTGTCAGGGATTTTGTCTAGAAGGGGAGAGGTAAATGATGAGCTAACTGCTACATTAGTGGGAGATAGAAATTGAAAATCAAGAGGACAAGCCCCCTGAGGGGCTACCAGGTTTCTATGAACAGTTGCAAGGGATCCCATTGCTCATTCTCAGCAAGATGCTTCCCTGGGGGCTTAGCTGGCATGGAAACATTTTCTTCAGTTTCCTTAGCCCCATTGCTAATTTTCATGAGGAGAAGGAAAAGGTGGGGTGATGATGCTGAAGAAAGAGGAGGGAGAATGGTGTGGTGTGAGAGGTGGATGTGGGAATGTGTTTGTAATAAGGCATATACTGAGAACACCTGCTTGCCGGTACTGTACCCATAAATGGACCCACCAGCATTACCCAAATGTAGACAAACATTCACATCCATTTACTTGAATAATTTGAAACTGAGCCACTAGGGAATATAGGTTTGACCTCATTTTCTTATGCTTGAGAAAAGAAATGTAATTTAGTAAAAAACTAAACAACAAAAAACCTTGAATGGAGATTAGGAGATTGGGATTGTCACTATCTTTACGAGTAGAGTACAGGCAAGTCACAGAATGTCCCTACATCTTTTTTCTCATCTATTAAAATAGCAGTAATAACACTAGTCTTGTTTATTTCACAGTTAGTAGTATCGAATGAGGAACTGGCTGTGAAAGGCTTTAGAAAGTTAGAAGTATGTACTGAGGTTAGAAGATATATATACAGTGAACCCATAGAAAAGTGTTTTGTCTTGAATAAATCTGAATTGCAGAGAAATCAGTAGGCGTGGGCATCATGAGACAAAAATGTGTCTCCTGCTCCTCTGTGGACAGAACCAGCCATCCCAAAGGGTAGCCTGGTCCCTCATCATTCTTTGCCTCCAAGAACTCATTGAGTGAAGATTGGTTATGATAAGTAGGAAGATGTCTGGGCCAGTGGGGTTCAGTGCGGTAGACTCCAGTATCCCAGTAATCTTACGGGTATGTCGTGAAAGAGTCAGGGGATTTGTTCAGAAAATCCACAGTGCTCCCCTTCATATTCAGATTGGTTATTGCTATTCTGTTACATCATTTGTGAGACAAACATGATAACCACTACATTATGGAAACATGACTCATTAATTCATTTGTTCATTCATTAATTCATTGATTCATTCATTCAGCCTGTAACCAAGCTTTCAAACCCGCCCCCCCATCCTTCAGAGCTTACCCAAATTCTACCTATTTCAGGAAGCCTTCCTTGTCCATCTCAGTACAGCACATTTATCAATCCCTCTAATTTCTTGAAACACATTTTGCTTTGTCATGTGCTTGTGCTATCATGTGTCTTGATTCCTTTCTGGACATAGATTCCATGTCCTAAACATCTGTGTATCCCTACAGTGCTAGCACAGCACCATGTAAACAAGCAGGTGCTCAGGAAATAAGAACTGAATGAATGAACATGTTGGGTGGATGGATGAGGGGGTAGCCCTGGATTCGGCAGTATTTTCCATATTTTCTGAGCTGGACAGAGAAGGGAGTGTAGTAAGTCTAGTTCTAGTTCTGGCCGTGGAGGTTGGTGGGGTGGAAGAGGCAACTGGAAGGCAAAGACAGTTACTGGGGCAGCCATTGGTGACCCTGCTGCCTGAAGATGGCACTAGAGGCCAGTTGGGAGTAGCTACTCACTCACCTGCAGTGAGCGCCTACTGTGTACAAGACACAGTTCAGGGGAACAGAGATGGCTGTATCATAAGTTCATTGCATGGCCAAAAAATATATGTGGAAGTTTAAACAGTGGTTTTAAAAAAAGTTAAAATGACAGTAAATGCAAAATGGCAAGATAGTGGTCCAGATAGTACATACCGTGGGCTTAATGAGCCTTCAGCTTGATTTTCTAGGGCTGTTTCCCAGTGGGCTGCCCTGCAGCTTCACCAGCACTTATTTGTCTACAGAGCCAGATTTTGGTATCACAGAATGTGCTCACTGTTGTTTTAAAGCTTTTGAGGAGAGATGTAGCAGAGTGAGCTGAAGTGAGGGTGAGGTGGATGGGGCCATTTGGGCAAGTTTCATATCTGAAAATTTGGCATACAGAGGGACGCAGAGGGCATGAACAAGGGAATAGGAGTTGGAATAGACTAGGTATATTTAGAAGACAGTTCATTCATTAATTTATCAAATATTTATTGAACCCTTGCAGAGTTTTTGTGCTGGACACACATGGTAAATGAAATAGGCAGTCTATCTTCAAGATGCTAGTGGGGCAGTAGATTTATTTGCATGTTTGCTAACGTACATATAACACAAATAACACATACATATAACACAAAGTGGGGAAAGTGCTATGAGGGAAAAGAATAGAAGTCTGTAAAAGAGAATTAGATGGGCACCCCATAATGAAGGTTTCCAGTTGGGTAAGAAGGATGGCACATTTGAGGGACCAGAAGACGGGTGGTGAGTGGACACATCTGGCTGGGAATGGCGTATGCAGGCTGAAGCCAGGCTGTGGAAGGCCAGGTTGTCTCTGCTGAGTTTCTGTGTTCCAACCTGAGGGCTTCCTGGAGAGAAAGGGAAATAGGGAGAAAGAGTGACGGTCTCCAAACACCTTGTGACTCCTGTCCCCGTTTGCAGCCAGGTGATGGGGCAGTGGCGATGGATGAGCTACAGGAGAACAAGAAGCTGAAGGTGGGTGCCATGTAGAGTCTGCGCAGTGAGGACACTGCAGGGTCTCACAGGACAGCCACAGACTCAGGGCACTGTGGCCCTGATGCCGAGGATCTTGGGCTGGGCTCAGGCCTGGGAAGCTCCTGGGAGTGCTGCCAGGCTGAGCCTGGGAAGGAGCGAGGGACTCTTGGCCCCACGTGGCCTTGGAGGAGGTGCTGGTTTGGGAGCTGGAATGTCACTGCTTGCTTTGCCACTAGCTCGCTGTGTGAGCTTGGGCCTCAGATTCTGTATCTGTAAATGACTGGACTAGATGAACTCAAGTCTAACTTTACAGCCCCCAGCATGCCATGATTGATCAAAAGCCTAATTACCTGTGGCTTTGGAATGCCCAGAACTAAGAGAACCATCAGAGGGCACTGGGGCAGAGGAGTCTGAGGTTTGTGAAAAAATGTCTTAGCTGCCTTTGGCCTATGGGGTATTTGGGAAGAAGTATGGGGACCTTAGAGAGAGGCTGGGCCTACTAGATAAAAAGGAAACCTCCCCATCCAAAGAAAATCCCTAGACCAGTTGTAAAGTACCGTGTTACCACAGCCACTAGATGGCAGAAGAGTTCAGAGCCAGAGGGATGGGGAAGGTGAAAGTGGGGGGTAGGTTATGGAGGTGGGGGCGTGGGGTGGAGTGGGGTCAGAGGGACTGAGCAAATGTTTGTCTGTCTTTGGATGCTCCCTTGTAAATCTGTGTGTGTCACATCTGTGTCTGCAGCTATAGATGTGAGGATGTGTGTGTGCCTGTGAAGGTTCTTGAGCACATGGGTAGAAAAAAAATCTGAATTGGGAATTAGAAGACCTGGGTGCTAGTCTTGACTCTTTAATTTACACCCCACATGAACATGTTGAGTTTTCATTTCCTTTTCTGTAGAAGGGATCTCAGTTCCTTGTCTGTGGGAGTGGGGCAGTGATAAAGCACCATGATGCGGTTCGTGGACTGCGAAGGGCTGTGCCCATGTGCAGGGTCTGCTGTGTGGTGTGTGGGTGAGCGTGTGCTTCTATGGGGTGTACTTGGGGAGATGGAAAAACCCTTGGCAATGTGGTGTCCTCAGTACCCATTGCTGCTCCCTTTTGAGACCTTAGGGAATTACTCAGTATGTAGAATTAGTCAGTCATGGGAGCGTTGAGGGGAGGCTGAGAAGAAAGCAGTGTAACTCTGGTTATTGTGAAGGACAAGGTGAGGCCAGGGAAACGCTCCTGTGCTTTCCCTCTGATCTCTCTGGGAGGGAGGCAGTGTTCAGTGAGGCCCTTGGTGGCTTCCCACCTGGCTTGGGCAGGGGCCCACTGAGGCCTGTGCTGCTCTCTCCTGCTCAGCTCCCGTCCGTGCTGACCCGAGGAGCAGCTCAGCCTCTCTGCACACTTCGCGAACGAAGTACCGGCTATGTCGATACGTAAGGACAGAGAGGAGGTATGTACGTCAACCAAACCTCCCCCAGACCTGCGGTGGTCTCCCTGTCACTCCTTCCCTCCTGCAGCTGGACAACAACTGGGACCTGCAAAACGGAGGCAGTGGGTGGGTTGAGGGCAGGAGTGGGAAGAGAGAGTTAGCAGAGGAGAGTGGGTGGCAGTCAGTCTGGGAGACAGGGTAGAGACGAAGACACAGAACTCACTGGGAGAGGAGAGGGCCCCAGGAGCCAAGGCCTTTAGGCATCCACATTCCCGTTTCCCTGCCTCCCTGTCCTCTCTTGTAAAAGGAGGAGGTTCAGCTGCAGATAGTGAGGCCATGATGCTGTGTGCCCCGCATGGGTTATGTGGGGGCTGCCCTCAGTATCTTCTCTGTGCAGCCCGCCACAGTCTCCTCCAGGCAGCTTGGATCAGGCTGACTGGCCAGGGTCGCTTCCAGTGGAAGCTCCTGTAGGTGCCAGAAACTGGTGTCCTAGGAAGACTGCCAACCCTCCCCCTCAGCCAGGAATCCCAAAGGATATCCTGGAAGCTGCCAGGACCACTTCTGGGGGTGGTGAGGGTCCAAAGTGCAGTGGGAGCTGATGTCCAACTTCACAGATGATTTGGCAGCTGAGATTCTCACCATCCTTCTTACCAGTTCCTGCCTTCTGGCCTCCCTCTCCTAAGAGCTGCCCCTAACACGATTCTCAGGCCCCCACAGGCACCCCTCCAGGCAGGAGGCCCATCAAGGGAAGGTTGGCTTTTGGGCAGAGTACCCATTGCTGCTCCCTGGGGTTGTGTTTGCAGTTGGGCAGAGGGCGGAGAACTGAACTGTATATGACACTAGAGACTGACCCTTGAGCCCCAGGGAGCACCCTGACTGAGATTCCTGGTTCAGGGACACATTTTGGGGGCTCAGAATTCCCTCAGGCCCTTAAGTATCTTCTTCAGACACAATATTGGGACTTAGGGTATTTGGAACAACTATGTTGTACTGTGAAAGCAGACTCAAAGACAAGGTGATCAATCCTTCCTTAGCAAATCTTCGAGGTGAGCCCTGGCGGACACTGAGTAAGACCTCCTGCAGCGCCAGCTCCAGAAGCAGTCCCGCTGGGGTTCTGAGAGGGAGTCTGCAGCCCCTGGCCGCCTGTGTGCTATCCGTGCGGCTGTGTCATGAAGGAAGCTGTGTCTCTGGGCCATGCTGGGCCACTCCTCTGGGAGTTACTGACTCTGGCAAAGTCTTAAAGATGAAGACTTCTCCTCAATGGGACCACAGGGCCCCCTGCCTGGGCCGCCTCCACCACTCACAGCCGCCAGCTGGCCTGCTTGTCCTGACAGGATTATGTGATGTCCAAGCCAGGCCGAGGTCAGAGGAGATTGATACTAAGGAGATGATCCTCCGTGCTGAGCTGAGAGGCATGTGAGGAAACCAGCTCTGGGGGAGCCAGCAACCGTCATCCCAGGGAAGACAGTCCTGCGTGGTCCACGGTGTGCCTGTGCGGCATGGAGTGGCCCTCGCTGTGAATGACTGCTGGCATGCTCTGGGGTACAGTCCTGCCCAGGGAAGCCAACCCTGATTCTACACCGTGAGATTCCATCCAGGAGGGGCTGTGACCGCACAGGACTGTGATGAAGGCCTTTGTTCCCAAGACTTTCCAGATACATGTTTGTGTTTCCATGTGCTGTTTCCAATGGCTGTCCAGATGTTTCCACCCTTGTCAGGTGTTCCAGCTCTTCCACAGAACTGGTCTGAACTCTCACCCTGTGAAGAGGATCCAATGATCCCCATGCCTCTTCTGTGTGTGTGTGTGTGTGTGTGTGAGTGAGCGGGGTGCGGAGAGAGAGGGGTCTCATAGTTGGCCTGCTTTTCTTGGGGGCATGAGAAGTGAGAGGGTAGGGTGTGTGAGGAGGGATGAAAAGGGAGGGGAACTTGGTTTTATTGCCAGTCCCTCCAGCTAACAGTTGGCAGATATTCTCAGTGCCAGGACTGGAACCAGGGGAGCCCCTCTTTGACAACAGCTACGTGTCGCTCAACAGAAGATGCCAGTGCTTGATTCCTGCCATCGGGGCGCTGGACTTGTTTGGATGAAGGAGGCGTTGGAGTGCCCACTTCCTGACATCTCAGTCCTGACAAGGACCTCCTGGGCAGGCCCACCAGGAAACTTCAAGGGACCACACATGCCAGAGCAGTGGAGCCCGTTGCCAGAGGGGCTGCAGCTGGAACCTACTGTGAGAATGTAGGAGACAGGCTGAGAGGAGGAAATTCCAGACCTGTTAATGTTTCCTGCCCATCAAGGCTGAGCTTGATCCACCCAGTTTTCCAGATTGCACCTGCTCATCCCATCTGGATCATGGACTAGAGGACCGTCAGGGTCTAACCCAAACCCTCTGGAACGTGGTGCCCCATTGCTGCAGACTCAGTGGGACAGCTGCTCTCAACTCCTGTGTCAGCTCATCATTATCGTCATAGCTAAACCTGATGCAGTGCTTTCTAGGTGCTAGGCACTGTTTTAAGCAAGTCGATGTATCAATAATTTATTCCTTCAACAAGTCTGTCAGATTTTACAGATGAAGAATCTGAAGGACAGAGAGGTTAAGGAATCACTCAGCTCAGTCCATGGCTAGCAAGTGGAAGAACTGGGATTCAAATCAAGGTTGTCTAGTTTCAGAATCTGAGCTAAGATAATATTTAATTGCAGCAATTACAGTATTTTTATTTATTTTGTCTCACAGATCCCCACATTGTGTGTATCATGGTGTTGCCTTTTTAGAGAAGGGATGCTGAGGCTTAGAGAGGATACACAGGCTTTCCAAGGTCACCCAGAGTTCACAGGGCAGAGCCATTGTGGGATGCAGAATAGACTCCAGGGCACCACTTTGTTCCATCATGTGTATCATTATCCTCAGCTTCTCACACTACACGGCTGTGAGGGGGACCTTCATGGCCCCTGCACCTCAGTCTCTGTGCCTCCCACCTGAAATGACACATGGAAAGCACTTTGCATGTCTCCTGGATCACAGTCACACTGAAAGAGTTGCCCTCCCCATTTTTCTTGCCTGGAAACCAGCGCAGCACCATTCTGAGCACAGTGCTCTGTGGGCCTCCAGGAAAGCATGTGCACAGGGATCTGGAAGGGGGCCCTGTGTGGGTTCCAGGTGTCTGGGGTCAAAAAGGGTGTGGTGAGCAGCTACTTCCCCCTTGCCACTGAGAGGGAAGGCTCAGGAATATGGCCACCAGCAGTGCCCCTGCAGTTATAGCAAAGCGTATAGTAGATTTATAGAAAGTAAGTTGTAAAGGCCCTTACACATAATCTAGTCCAAGGATGTAATTATTTCTCCATTCCCTGCCCATTGCAGACACCTCCGATCAATCCTGGCACTCTCCTACCAGACCTGGATGAGGATTCTCCTCAATTCAGCACCCAGGCAGCCATCACTTGGGCTCACAAAGGAATTAAACCCTATCTGTTGCCCCCAACACTAACCATGTTATTTTACCAGAAAGAAAACAGGGGAAGTGACTTGCTCAAGGTCACAGCCAGTTAGTGACAGTGCAGGGAATGTAAGACAAAAGTTGGGAACTGGGCACCGTGACAGGCCTAGTAAGACTAGAATCCAGACATCATAACTCCCAGGCCAGCCTCTTCCCATGCACTTGAGCTGCTCTGGTTGCTGGTCCACCAGCCTAACTGAAGGGTGTGGCGGCGATACTTTGGTCCCAGATATGCTTCTTTTTTCATTTGCAGCACAATCCTCCAAGAACAGGGATGAGGAGAGCTTGAATCAAGAGGCCAAAGCCAAGCCTCAGGCCAAAGCAGAGAGCAAACCAGAAGGTGAGACCAGCAGGCTTTCTCCTGCACCTTCCTTCCTCCTATCTGCCAGGGCTGAGGCAGGGCTCTTGGCCTCTCTGAGCCAGTCAGCTGGAGTGGTGATCTGGTGCTGCCTGCACTTTGCTGTAGTCCAGGGTCCCTCTTCCCCAGGCAGTCCTGTACTGTTCCCTCCATACTCTCCTTACGTGGGGTAGGCAAGGCCAGGCTGAAGGTTGTTGAACTCCCACTTCTGTTTTTGCTGAATCTTGTCCCAAATTAGACTATATTGGACTCTAGTTCTTCTTCCTGCCACTTCTACAAAAGGATAGTTCTGCTAGGGATTGGCCCGAGACCAGCAACGCCAGTGAGGAAAGGCCACCAGGGTCTGGTGACAGAAATCCAGCATCTGTGTGGCTGCTGGGACAGGGAGTGTGACAGCTACTGCCCTGTGGGCTCTATACTGCACACCAGGACTACCTGTTGTACTCAGCAACCCTTGGAGGGAGGTAGAGCAGCAGTGGTTGTTCCCATTCTATAGACACCATTCTATAGACAACGGAGGCTCAAGAGGTCAAGTGACTTTCCCAAAGCCACACAGCCAAGAAGCGAAAGAGCCTGTACCTAAACCCAGCTCTCCAGACTTGCCAAGGCTTCCTAGCTGCTGTCTTTGAAATCATTAGGATCCTCTCCATGCAGCTGGTAGGGGGAAAGGTCAGACCCTTAGGGCTGGGGCTTTACCCTCTCTTTGTTCCAGTTGCCTATGCTGGCCAGGATGGAAATGTCTGCGAATACAGAAGGAGCAAGGATTGCCATTTCCCAGCCATCCTCTCATCTGTACATAGCTCTGTGGAAAGGACAATAACAGTTCACATCACATCATTTCACTTTTTCTATCAACAAGAAATCCCCCTTCTGAGATCCAGAAGTGGACAAGTCCAATAGCCCTGTAGCCACTCACATCAGTCTCTATTAGCTGCCCTCAACACCTGGTACTCTTCTGACCTATCCCATGTTTATCCTTTAAAGAGGAGGAGCCAACCAAGCTCCCTGCGGTCAAGGTCACACCAGCCCCTGCTCCAGACGTCAAGGGAGACCAGGAGGAGGATCCTGGCGGTCAGGTAGGCACAAGCCTCTTCCCAGGTAGAGGAGTGTGAGAGACCCAGGGAAGGACTTGTTGACCAAAAAGTCTTCCTTCCTGAAGGTCTGAGGTTCATTCCTCTGGGGTAAGCATTGCGAAGATGAGATACTTCATGGGGCCATTACATTCACCATTACACCTGAGTGTGAGTCAGAGAACATATATAAGAATGTGTTGCCAACTGTCACCTACTGTAAAAACATAAGAAAAAACTGTTAGGCGTCTCCCAGCAACTTAGGGATGGTGAGACCAGTCAGCTCAAAATGCCAGGGGAGGGTGCTGGGAAAAGGCCTGGGGACCTCCCAAGGCATCTTGGCCTTGTCCACTGGGCTTCCTGGGTTCTGATACTGCTGTCTTTACAGCCGCAGCCTCTCCTGCTACAGCCAAACTGGACTTCTTGTCTCCATGCTTTTCTACCTGGGCCCAGATGGTTTTCTCCCCCTAGAACAGGGGTGGGCAACCTTTTTGTGAGCGCGTGCCAAAACCAGCAAAATCTCTGACTCAAAATTCTTCTGCGTGCCAACCCTAATTTTTTGAGAACATGTTATGCCTACTTGATATCTCTTAAGATGTACGTATGTGAAGAACCTTGAAGAAATAATAAAATTTATTCGAGCGACAAAAACACAGTATATGATGATGAAAAATACATTTATTTTTTAATGTATACATGTTATGTAAAATTATTTATTTATCTAAGATGCACCTACACTGAATTTATCTGAAAAATAAAAAGTCGATATTAAGAAAAAAAATTGTAAATGGAAGATTATAAGAGAGGGTTTCGCGTGCCAGCAAAAGTTACTGGTGTGCCATGTTTGGCATGCGTGCCAGGGGTTGCCCACCCCTGCCCTAGAATGCCTTTTCCTCCTTCTTCAGATACCCTAATCTGCCTCCAGGCAAGTGCAAATGCCTCCTTTGCCATAAGGCTTCCCCACCGTCCAATCTGAATGCCTGTGGTACATTGTTCCTCTCCCAGGGCTCTTACACTGCCTTCCTTGTACTCTGTCTCTTGGTTCCCCTGCTAGGTGGTGAGGTTCCTGAAGGCAGGATCCAATTCTGAGTCATCTCTGTTTCCCCCACAGAGAGAAACTCAAGGCACAATAAGGGTCGAGTGACTGGCAATAAATTAACAATCAGTTTGCAGGTTCCATTGCTGTTTTTTGTTTTTTTTAAACTTGACACTCAGAAGCACTCAATTATATCTTATCCTTAAGCCAGCAATTTGGGTTCAGTGTCTAAGACATTTTCATGGTATCATGAGTGTCCCGAGTAGGTCCCGGACAGCCAGCTCAATTAAAAGGGATTAAGAGGAACCCCAGCGCAGGAAGTGAAGGTTGGTGTCACTAGGAGCTGGACCTAGGCCTGAGAAGGTATCTGTGACCCTGGAGGCTTCTCACTCCATGTCTGGCTCTCCCTCACATCCCTTCCTCTGTGTGCACACTTTCCTAGTAGCCTGGCTCCATTTGCTTCCTTATTAGCTCACACAGCCCTAAAATACTACCCTAGTTCTCCAGTCTACAGGGGGGATCAACCAGTGATTGGCTCCTAGTCACAGAAGAGAGAAAATTCGTTCAAACCAGGTCATGGGGCAGGGACCCAGCCTGTGTCCAATCAGCTGTGGCAGGGAAAGGGGGGGTGCTTTGACTTCAACAAGGAAGAGGGGATATTAGGGGTGGCAGTTTTTAGAGAAGAGGGTACAGGCTGGGCAGACACTCCCATACCTATGGATTTAAAGGACTTGTCGTCTTCTCTAGGAAACCTCTCCTGATGGGGCTGTGAGGGAGGCAGGAATGACTTCAGACTAAAATCTCACTCTTCATTCCAAATTCAAAGCAAAGCCTTACAGAGACTAATATTTGACTTCATCAGGGGTTCTTAACCCTGGCTGCATAATAGAATAATTTGGGGAAGCTTAAAAAAATACCCAGGCCCCCCAAAATGCCCAGGCCCCGTCCTCAGTCAATTAAGCCAGAATATCCGGGTTGGGCATGAATGTTTTTAAAGTCTCCAGGTGACTTTAATATGCAGCAGAGTTTGAGACTCACTGAGCATCCCTTGGGGATGGGCTATGTCATGAAATTTGTTACAGAAAACATACTCCATGAGCACACAGTCCAGGCCATTTGTTTGTTTGGATTAGCATATTGTTATAGTTAGTTGAGAGCCTAATCTGAGGACCCTCAGTATCAATGGCTTTAGACTGCATGGAATCAGTCCATGGTTCCCAAACACTGGTCTGCAGATGGACTTGTTGGGAGCACTTGTGAGCATGTTAAAATAGATTCCTGGCTTCCAGTCCCAAATATTCTAATTCAGTTGGTCCAGGTGGGGCAAGGAAATGTATATTTGTTTCTTTTTTAAAAGATTTTAAAATTGATTTTTAAAGAGAAGAAGGGAAAGGAAGAGAGAAACATCAATTTGAAAGCAAAATATTGATCCTCCCTGGGATCGAGCCTACAACCCAGGCATGTGCCCTGACTGGGAATCTTAACAGGAACCTTTTGGTGCATGGGATAACCCAACCAACTGAGCCACGCCAGCCAGGGCAGAAATGTGTATTTGTAATAAACTTCCTACACTGTAAGGTTTGGGAACCAAAGATCTCATTTGGCCCTGGCATTTGCAAAACAGGGTAGGTTGGTGGTTAAAAGGCCAAGAGTTGGACTATCCATATTCAAATCCCAACTTTATCACAAACTGTGGACCATGGGCAAGTTATTTAACTACTCTGTACCCTAGTTTTTCCATCTATCAGATGGGTTTAATTCTATCTATATCATTAATTAATTGCTCATGAAACATAGTAATTGCTAGGTATTATTATTAGTATATCACTCAGCATGGTGCCTGGCACATAAAAGCCATCAATAAGTAGGTATTATCATCAATTTATACATATGATGTAATATAACAGTTTAGGAGTTTAGTGGACACAGCAATGTTATATAATCACCAAAAGATATCATGCAATATTAACGGAAACATGTCTAAGACAAGGATGCTGATAATACTATTAAACTCTGTGCAGTGTTCTGTGTTCAGGTTTAAAAGCCTCCTCGTGGGATATAAGCTAATTAGAATGAGTTCACCAAGCTGGGGATGAGGCTCCAGGCCATTATATGGGGGGATGACAGAAGGACCTGGGTATCGCTAATGCAGGGAAGAGAGCTGTCTTGTGGAAGAGTGATTAGCTTTGTTCTATGCATCCCCAAAGAGGAAACCTAGACACAGAGGGTAGCTCCTTGGTATACATATGAACTTCAAACCAAGCAGAGTTGCCAAAGATGACAGAAGTTCTTCTGGTGAGTTTTCCATCCCTGGAAATGCTCGAATAAAGACTAAACAACCACCGGGTAGGAATGTTGTGAAGGGGAATTTTGCTGAGTAATTGCACTAGTTTTCTCCTCATACATGAGTTTTTAGTTATATTCTGAGAGAACAACAATAAAAATAATAGGAAGAAACTGGGAAAGAAAACAAGCAGAGAAGTTACGTTAATCGGTTGGCTTTGGATTGCAGGAAGATGTGGCTGGAGCTGAGAGCACAGGTGCAATGACAGGCAAAGAGGTTGAAGCTCCTGGTGAAGGTGAAAATGGAGGTGAAACTCAGCTAGAAGGTGAAGGTGAAACTGAAGCAGAAGGGAAAGGAGACACTGCAGGTGAAGGTGAAATCCAAACAGAAGGAGATGCTGGTGAAGTGAAAGGTGACGCCGAAGAGCAGGGATTCAATGCTGGAAATCAAGGTGAAACCAGAAGTGATGAGAAAGGTACAGATGGTGAAGGGGGAGGTGATGGAGGTGATGGTGAACATGAAGAGAACAAGAGTGAAGTCCAAGCAGAAATAAAAGAAAATGATGAAGGTGAAGGTGAACTCCCAGCAGAAGAAGAAGATGGCAAAATGAAAGGTGATGGTGAAACCAAAGAGCAGGACTTCATTGCTGAAAATCAAGGTGAAGCCAAAGGTGTTGAGACAGGTACAAATGGTGAAGGAGGAGGTGATGGAGGTGACAGTGAAGATGAAGATGAAGAGGAGGATGAGGATGAGGATGAGGAAGAAGAGGAGGAAGAGGAAGAAAATGAGGAGCCTTTGTCGCTGGAGTGGCCTGAGACCCGGCAGAAGCAGGCTATTTACCTCTTCCTCCTGCCCATTGTGTTCCCACTGTGGCTGACAGTGCCCGACGTCCGGAGGCTGGTGAGTTTGCCCAGCCATGCCCTAGCCTAGACTGTCTATCTCCAGAGAGGCTTTCCACCCAAGAGGAGGGAGAGGACAGGGTCAACCAGCTTGGCAGGGCTCAACCACAGAGAGGATTTGGGTTGGAATTCGCAGCTCTGGAGAGGGCCATGCACCTAGGGGGACATGGGCCTGTGAGGCCCTAGAATGTGCTTGCTTCCACCTCTATAAGCAATGTGAACTAGTCCCGCCTTGACTGTTTCAGTATTCTGATTTTAATGTAGGAATGATGCCACCACACCCCACCATATTTCACAGGGTTACTGTGAAAACCCAAGGCGATAAGTGCCATTTCTTCCCAGCATCCTATTTATAGGGAAACATCTGACTAGCATACCCCACCCAAAGGCTGTCCATATTCTGTCTCTGGGTCTGGAGAGGGGCAGGGCAGAGAGAAGTTGCAAAAGCCAAATCAAATACCCAGATCGGCTTGGTTCTGGGGCAAGCAAATAGCTCTTCAGTTTGGTGACTACTGAACACCCTACTGACTGTACTCCCTTGTGGGCCACCAACCCCATCCTTTCCCTGCTATGTCAAGGTCCTCACTGGAAACAGATTTCAGCTCACACATATCTAGATCCTCTCATCATCCCCCAGCAGATCTCAGCACTGATTCTGGGGCTCTCTCAAAAGGGCCAAAGACCTTTAGCCTCTGAAACTCACTTCTTTTTCTTTTCATACTTTCACATAGGAGTCTAGAAAGTTCTTTGTTATCACCTTCCTGGGATCCATCATGTGGATAGCCATGTTCTCATACCTTATGGTGTGGTGGGCTCACCAGGTGAGTAAAAAGCAGGAACTAAATCCTGTATCAGCAAGTTCAAAGGCTTTTTTCCTTCAGGGTAAATTTCCAGTACTTAGGGAATGGTGAGGATCAAGTGCATTTGTAGTTTCTACATTGTTGGTAAAGGCAGCTTTTTTATTCCAGTGAATGTAGTACTTTTCAAGTGTGGCTTTCCTTACATTCACATGCAGCATGACATAGAAGGCCCTTCACAATCTGCTCATCACCCTAGTCCCTTTCTCTGTCATGCATCTCCCACTCTTCCCCTCCTGGTGAATTGTACACATTGTACACACTCATGAGAGCAAGCACAGTTTTGCCCTGTCTCTGGCATTTTAATCCTCTGAGTGCCCATGGCTTTTCTGTTCTACCTGGAATATTGCACTAGCACAGAGCTGTAATCGTTGTTTATAATCTTTTTTCCTTCACTAGGCTGAGAGTAGGGTCAGTGTTGTACTGCTCATACTTTTCTCTCCAGCTCTTAGTTCCTGGACATAGCAGGTGTCCATGGTTCTGGAAATAGAAATGTGACATGAACAGATCTTTGGAGGGGCAGTTCTTTTAGAAGTAGAGGTACTGTTTGAATGTCAGTGACAGGTGGTATTATAGATGGACTTTTAGTCCATCTTACATAAGAGCAGGGTCATACCCTGAAGCCTTGAGCAGGGGCCTCATCTCCCCAGCTGTCAGTTCCGCCATGACCCTGCCTTGCTCAGGCCACAGGAGTATGCTGAGCTCCATGGGAGGTGTTGGGTTTGCACAAAGTAGTATGTGGAAGAGCCTCAGATTTTCCACTTGCTGTTGCCGTGGTTTCTTACTTCTGTTACTGTTTATCAGGTTGGTGAAACAATAGGGATTTCTGAAGAGATTATGGGTTTGACGATCCTGGCAGCAGGCACATCAATTCCTGACCTGATCACCAGTGTGATTGTTGCTCGGAAAGGCCTGGGAGACATGGCCGTGTCAAGCTCTGTGGGCAGTAACATATTTGATATCACCGTGGGGTGAGTGGCAAAGTTGCTTTTTAAGGAATATTAAGTAAGACTGGAAAACCTTGTGTTGGCTCTGTTCACTGGTTTTCTGCTTCATTCATTATACATGGAATAAAAGGGCATTTAAAGTATTAGTTTCTATAAGGCAACAAAGTATTCTCCCTTCATTAATCACAGACAGATGAGATAATAGAACTAAAATGCTGCCTGAAATGTAACTGACTGGAATTTATAGATGAGTTGAAAAATAAAGTCCATTAAATTCCATTACTAAATACAATCAAATGCTCTGCTCACTGACCTGCAAGGTGGTGGAGGTGGGGTTGGGACAATGACTCAGTCTCACTTCCTGATGTTCTTGTTCCTTTGCTTTTGGGTTCCTGCCAGCTATAAAAGCATTTTGTATAAACAAGCAAATGCTGCATCCTGCTGCACCCATTCCCTCACCTGGCCTATTTTCATTTCCCTAGTCATGCCCTGGACTTCAGTGGTGGCTTTGGTTTCATTACTTTGAATTTGTGTGTATGGGTGGGGCAGGGAAAGGGCATAGGAGAGCCCTAATCCCTAAGTAATTTAAAGGAATGTTGCCAGAACCGGTTTGGCTCAGTGGATAGAGCGTCGGCCTGCGGACTCAGGGGTCCCGGGTTCGATTCCGGTCAAGGGCATATACCTTGGTTGCGGGCACATCCCCAGTGGGGGGCGTGCAGGAGGCAGCTGATCGGTGTTTCTCTCTCATCGATGTTTCTAACTTTCTATCCCTCTCCTTTCCTCTCTGTAGAAAATCAATAAAACATATTAAAAAAAAAAAAGGAATGCTATCCTGAGCTGGGCCTTATCATAAAAATTTAGAGTTTAGAGTTACACATCAACAGATCTGGTTAGTCATACAGAAGTCATTTGGTATGAAGAAAAAAATAGTCAGACCTAGAAAACTTCAGTTTCAATCCAGGCTCTCCCAGTTATTAACTGTGAGCCCAAGGGCATGTAATTGAACTTTCCTGAACCTTGGTATCCTCTTCTGTGAAATGGGGCTAATATTTTCTGCTCTATTTCATAGATTGTGTGTGTGTGTGTGTGTGTGTGTAAAAATGAGTGCTTTGTAAATTGTAAAATACAGTTTAAGTATATGGGATGATTATAAACATGAAAAATACTCATTGTTTCTTCATCTCGCAGCCTGCCTGTTTCCCTGGTTGCTTTTTCTCTCTTATCAATGGACTACAGCCTGTTTCCAGTCAGCAGCAATGGCTTGTTCTGTGCCATCGTCCTGCTTTTTCTCATGCTCCTGTTTGTGATCTCTTCAATTGCATCGTGCAAATGGAGAATGAACAAGATCCTGGGCTTCACAATGTTCCTCCTTTACTTTATATTCCTGATAATCAGTGTGATGTTAGAAGATCGAATCATATCCTGTCCTGTATCTATCTGAGTCAGTCACTGTTGCTCAAAGTGGACATGGATCAGAAAACCATGCCAGCAGTTACTGTACCTCTTGGTACATTGATGAATGAACATGATCCAGGAGAGTGAACTGAGAGGCTGAGAGCATCTGATGTCAGTGTGATACAGGAGTGAAGGTTATTGTTGGGAACACCTGCAGCTCATTGTGATTAAAAATCTCACTTCTGGGGTTGGGGAGTGTATGGAGTTCCAACCCTTACTGCTACAGACAACTGTCACATGGACTCCAGTGAAAGGACCCCTGGAGTCAGAGGGTTTTCTACATGAGATACCTGGAGGGTTGGGACAGGCACAGTTAAGACAAGCCACCAAGCTCACGTATTCCTGATTATTAAAGGGCTGCTGATCCAAAAGATGCAGAGGTGGTCTCTGACCCTCCTGGCTCCTGCCCCAAGCACATGCTGCACTTCACGGTCTCCTCTTTTTCTGTTCAAAACATGAGGTTCTACCAGGTTTGTAATCATCACTGGTTCAGTTACTGGTGAGTTTAAGAGCTAAGGCTATAGGAAGAAATGAAATATAACAGGAATCACTTATCATTAGTAAGATGTGCACCAATATTTTATAGCTTAAAAGGATTACATTAGCTCTTACTGCATTTCTGAAAGTGAAATTAAAATAACCCAAGAAATTAAAATTTGTAATTTGCCCTTAAATTGGAAGGCCTGGATATGAGAGAAGGAAAACTACTCTAAGGGCTATTTAAAAATATGTACTTATTAGAAAGTCCAAGTTAGTGTTGTCTCCATCAAGCGGTCTCCTTGAGGGATTAGACATATAACACAGTGGTTGGTCCTGGCTCTGCCCCTCCAGCATATTCTCACCCAACAGTACAGCTGCTCCTAGTGAGTGAGAAGGTGGAGTTCAGTCAGTAGAGCCAAGTCTGGATTATAAAGTAAGAGATCCAGGGGGGCAAGGCCACTTTTGCATGTTAACCCAGATGGGATTATAAAGCAAGATTGATGTCTTGTGTGGCTTACAAGTGGAGATTAAGGCAATCACAAAGGAGAAATCCCAAAAATGCTTAGCACAATGGCAACACAGTGAGAACAAAAGTATTTCTACTTCCAAGGTATCTCGTGTAAAGGACACTTGTTTTTAAAAAGTGTGTGGTTATTTAAACATTTCATGTGGAATTTGAAGTGCTTGTATATTAAATACCAATGCTTACTGCTTTTACTAGCATCAAGTTAAGGGACACATGAGAAATGAAACAGTTCTATGTCCCTGGTTTCAGAGCAAAGGTCGCTGAGGGGACTGTAGATTATGATGGTAAATAGAGCTTTAGTTACAACATGAGAGAGGATTCACTGAAGACTAGAAGATAGCAGGACAGATGTGATATGAAAAAAAAATCAAACATTTTGGTGTTGATGGGCTGCGTTCAAAGAAAGTACTTCAGTCCATAATCCATCTTTAGTTTGGGTTAATTAAACTAATGGCCTCACTACCCCAGGATTCATGTTCTTTAGAAATGACTTTTATTCAGTTTCAATAAATTGTGAGTCCCATTGGTATTTTACAAACATGGTCAGAATGCTCCAGAGAAGACTGATGAAGAATATGGAGTCATATTCAAATTCCATATTCTGAAGTTATCCTCATTCCTGATGCTGCTGCAGTGCCCAGTCTCCACATGCCATGACCTAAGAACAGGAGGGAGATCCCAATGCCAACTCTGGGCGCCAGCCTGGTTTCTGCAGCCAATTCCAGCTAGCCACGGGGCATTCCTCCCCACTGATGGCCAGGGACCTGGTGCTCTTCCCCAGAATGACTGGGTGGGGAGTGATGGGACAGTGAAATGTTCTGTAATGATAAAGCTGCTTCATGATTAAAATAAACTCTAATGATCTAACAATCTTTTCCTAATCAGTGTACTGAATTTTTGGCATTTCTCTTTGCCTAGAAAGGAAGTTCTGATAACTTTACACTATGACAGAAAGGGTTAAGCATATAAAATGAAAGCTGGGTCTTGATGGGCGAGTAGGAATTCAAGAGGGAAAGGAGAGAAAGATTTCCGGGAGATGGAAAACTTATGTAACTTGTAAAAGATGCTTGGAAGTTAAAATTTTTGTCATACATTTACAGATCTATAATTTATTAAAATTGTGCTGTTTTAGAGATTAAATACTATCTTAAAATGTCAACATAATGTTGAGATGGTCCTTTCATTTGATAGGCAGAACAGATGTGATATGAAAAGATAGGACAGAATACAGAATAATCTGTATTCTAGATCATTCGTTCAGTCTAGAAAGTCCAAACTGTCCCCACAAGGGTGTCAGAATTGGAAGACTGGCTGAACAGATGGTTTCTTCTTCATTCCCCATGAGGTTTCATTTTCTTGATGGACTTGGGCCAAATTTCTAGTAATGTGAAACTCGTTCTAATTTAACGGGTTAAAATTCTATATGGTACCAGAAAAAAAGGCTACATTTCAAACTTATGAAAATTGGTATATGTTTAAATGGTTACTATACACTGCGAACAATATATTGCACTCTCATCTGAAAATGTTTCTATCAAATTATAGGCTTGGCCTTTTATAACACTGTCCATAGCCAGCAGTTCTCAACCTGTGGGTCGCGAACAATGAAAATACATCCTGCATATCAGATATTTACATTGCAATTCATAACAGTAGCAAAATTACAGTTATGAAGTAGCAATGAAAATAATTTTATGGTTGGGGGTCACCACAACATGAGGAACTGTATTTAAGGGTCGCGGCATTAGGAAGGTTGAGAACCACTGGATACCATAATTATCATTTATTTAAAGATTGAATACCAAAGGCAGCCAGAATTGGAATGTAATATTCTGGGCAAAGCCTAGTACATACAATTGAAGAACTGGTCGACCTTATGTGTCAGAGAATACCCTTGGTTCTGACCCCTTTTTTGTGGGCAGGTCATGCTGGAGGTGGGACTGGTCTCTATAAAAGGCATAAAGAGAGCTCATGATCAGGCTGTCTATCCCTGGGGAAGGGGGATCACTAGAACCAGCAGGACACCCTGGCCTAAGGCTGCCCACACACCCACGGCAACTGCTTCTGCTTTTCAGCCCTTCCCTGTGATGAGCAGGTAAAACCTGGAGAATTTCATTTAAAGAAAATTCCATCCGTTGCTCCAGTGGTCTATCACAGTACTGTGTTTGAAAAGAAAATCATTACATACAAAAGGAGGGAGCCATCCACATGAACAGCAACTGTGGAAAGGGCCACAGTAACTTTATCAGATGAGTTTGTTACCATCTCAGAGAGTAAGCCCAAGCACACAGATTTTTTTGAATCAGAGTCGGAAATTCCTATGTGAATTTGTACACTGCTGATTTTGTAAACAAGAATAATTAAGCCAGCAAATGTACTGTGAGGCCAGAGGAAGAGGGTAATATGAAGGTATTAAAAAGAAGATACCAAATACTGAGGATATGAAGGTAAACTGGTATGCAGCTGCTACAGAATTCAATTCGGAAGTAAAACTCAGCTTTGTGTCTAAACAGAAAGGGCTGAGAATACAAACTTGAGCACAAAGGTGGGCCAAGCGCAGTCTGCTCTTTCCCTTCCTGCTCTGAGATAAAGTGCCTGAAAGCAGCTTTCAAGTTCTAGTGGGAGAAATAAAAACAAAGCTGGGCTGTCACACTTTACCATACAAATGGGCATTTTCTTACCATATACTTACAAAGTATTTAGAATTCAACATAACAGCCTTCTATATACAGTAGGCTATCAATTGTTAGTTGCACTAAAATATCATAGTAATTACCAGCATAAAGTAAAATTAGTATTTATCACCTGAAATGCTGAACCAACATTTTCAGGGATCATTTCTCTGCATAAAAAAATGGAAGACATATTAGAAAATCTTACAATAAAACAGGCAGGTGATTTTAGGGTTTTAAAGCAAAAAAAACCCCCCAACAACACACAAAAACACAAAAACCCTCCAAACAATCACAAAAGACAAAAATCAGAATATGAACAAGCTGCACAACTCCCTACCTGACAATAGGATGAAAAGCTGAATATCTAAATATGATATAAAATACAAGTGTGTGACATTCAAAACACAATTGAAAAAAGTAGTAAAGTTATACCAGGACACAGAATGATTTATTTTCAACTATTAAACATATAAACAAAACCAAGAGTAAGAAAATCAGAGACAAATAATGTAGCAAAGGGTATTTCTCTCCAACACAATTGGCCATAATTCTCCAAAATGTACGGTCAACAGAGAAAAAACTGAAGGAAAGAATGTATAGAGTTATTTTAAAGGATGATCATATTTTAATTTTGTTTTGAAGAGTTTACCACTTCCTTTTCATGGTTCAGAGTATATTTTAAGACTAAATTTGTGTAAATAATATTCCTTGGGGATTAAAAGTAGGGGAAACAAAACCCAACCAAAAGCAGAAATAAAACTATGTGTGGGGGGAGGAGATACAAATTACATTCACTTTTCCAAATAAATTTGACCCATGAAGAATGGGCTTTACCTCACCGTTCTGGGTCAGATTTGAGATAAAAAAAAAAACTGTGATTCATATTGTGTTAAAGATAGGTAAACAATAGTGAAAGCTGTTCTTATAAGGGAAACAAACCAACCAATAAACAACAACAAAAGCCAGAATAGAACCCCAGAATCCTGTTTGGAGGGATGTTTGTGGGCAATGCCAAAAGCCTCACCTATCACATATTTCTTACTATCAACTTAAAGTGATTTAGAACAGCAGTCGCCAACCAGTGGTCCGTGAGGTCCGAAAGGTTGGCGACTGCTGATTTAGGTAGAAAACATAAGACAGAATGTGAAGCTTGGATTTGAATAGTAAAAGACAAAATTGGAGTGGTATTTACAAAGGAGAGGCAGACACATGTGCATAGCACCAGATTTTTCAAGTAAGCAAGTTCAGCCCCAAACTAACTGAACTAAAATTTTACATTTTTAAACTCTTCCCATTATTTTCCAGAGTAGAAGAAAGCTGTGAAATGTTTCAGCTTCGTGATAATCACTAATAGTGTGAACTCAAAAAGTGGTTTTCTGTAGCTGAGCTGATTCTAAGTCTCAGGACTTCATGTTATCCCCAGTCCAAATGTCCTGGACTCTACTGGCTTTATACACATAAATTGGGACCACCCATTTTTTTCTTTGAAATTGGCTAGAGAATTCCTTCCTTAATGACAATGTATGCAAACATACACACATATTGAAAATCTATAAATAATTCTAACAGCCAAAGAATACTTTTGATCAGAATTACCCAAAGAAAGTGAAATTAGAAATGATGAGATTAAAAATATATTTTAGAATCTATTCATGATGCTTAAATAATCAATTTATTGTCTGATTTCTGGACTTTACATTCCATAAACTTCAGATTCTGAAGGCTTGTTGAAAAAGCCAATTTCCTCAATATGGGAAATTCTCTCTGACTTTACTTTTAGAGAGTTATTACTTTTCTACTTTTGAAAAAAAATTGAATATTTATATGTGTATATAATATTAGCCGAAAACTCCAGGCCATATTCCCGATAAATACAGTACAATTTGCATCATACCCAATATTTTAGACATTAAGGTTAAAATCTGGAATAGAGTATATTGTCTGACATATTTCCCAACATAAATATTTATGTAGATATTAAAATTTAAGCTGATATTTGGCTTTGTAAGCTATTTCCCCTGTGGACTGTATGTATCTATTAGCAATAGAGAAATTTTGGAATTGTGGTATGCTGACCCTGATTTTGCAGAAACAGACTTGGAACTTCTGGGGCTCTCCTTCCACAAGGCTCAATGAGTCAGTCTGGGCAGTGCACACCCTTGTCATGACTCACTCACTGCAGTTAGGCGTAGGAGTACTAACATGCAATTCCAGGACAACACAGACACTAGCACTGACATTTTTTTAATCATTCCCCCAAGTAATAAAAAAAATATAGATAGATAGATATACATATAGAGATCTGCAGCTGTACCAGTTACTTCAAATAGCAGACAAGGAAAATAAGCACTTAATTGCTTGCTTTATAAGTTTAAGTTCATTTTAAGCTTGCTATATTAAGTTTAAAAATTAAAAAAATATCAACTTACTATAAACAATTTAAAATATGTATAATACAACTTCATGGTCAAAACATTTGACTAGTCTATGAAAACAGGAGATACTACATTAGTTCAAGTTTCATACATGAGTTTTCAATCTGTCTCTTACAAGAGAAACCATGAAAAGGTTGTTTTATTTTATGGGAACTAATTTTGTTTAGGGATTTCCCCATCACAAAACGAACTGATTGTTACAGGGAAAGTAAAGAAAAAAAGGAAAGGGGAAACAAAGTGGCTCTCTCCCTATTGGTCACTATTCTCTTCTTAAAATATTCTGTACATAAGCTATATGGACATTCTGAACCATTTACAAATTCATTTTCAAAAATTGAAGAAAAAAAGTGTAGAGTCTAAAAGTGTTATTTTATACACAGACTATACAATACATATTGAATGTACACACACACACACACACACACACACACACACATCTTAAAGATAAGGTTCTCCAAAGGTTTTTCGACATTCCATCACTCCTGTACTTGGCGGTCTATCACAGTTGTGTGTATTCTTGACTTGACTAGGTGTGAGACGATCGTATGCCATCTTGTATTCTTTATCAAATACATCTGAAAAAATTCACAAGAAACAAAGGCATAAAGAAATTTATATTTGATTTTGATAACAACCAAGTTTTGTAATACTACAGAACTGCAAAATTAAAGGCCAAGAAGGAATCTTGAGGTCTTTTCTGACAACTAAAGGACCACAGAATTTCAGAACTGGAACATGGGAACTTTAGAGTCCATAGCTC